TTTTTAAATACTGAAGTCTAAAAATTTAAATAAATTTAAGAAAAGAAAAGGAATTCCGCTTTTAATTTTTTTCTGTGTTGATTATATTTTGTTTCTTTCTTAACTTAATTTTCTTTTATTTTTTTATAAAATTTTTTTAACTTCGTTAAATTTTTAGAAACTATTTTATTTATTTTATCTTTTTTTTTTTTAAATTTAACTGGGCTTTCTTTTGTTGATTTCAATTCTTTTAATTTTCAGATTTTACTGTTCAAAAAACATTTTATTGTTAAAAAAAAGTTCTTAAAAATTAAATCAAATTAAGAAAAAAGAAAAAAAACAATTTTTAAAAATTAAATTACATTTATTTTTATTTTCAAAATAATAAAATTTCAAAATTAAAAGAAAATCAAACTAAGATAAGAAAAAAAATTAAATTTAAAAAAATAAACGGATTTTATGAATCTTTCCTGTTTTGATTTAATTTTGTTTCTTTATTAATTATTTATTTTTAACTTATTTTTTAACCATTAAATTTTTAGAAACTTATTTTATTTCTTTTTTCTTTTTTTATATTTAATTGGTTTTAATTTTGTTAATTTTATATTTCAGTTTTTGGATTTTATTGTTCAAAAGAGAAAAATATCGTTACCTTAATTCACAAAGGCCCTAACCAGCAAATTTTCTATTTCAAAGGAGAAGCAAAAAACATTATAAAAAGAAAATCAAAAACTGGCTTTTTAAAAAATGGCAAAAGCCCGTTGTTTTGGCACCAACACTTTAAAGTTTTTAGTGAAGTCGTGTTTTATTATATCTTACGAAAATCTTTGAAAACGCAGTTTCGAATTAAGCTAACGATATGTATGTATGCAATTATTAATTTAATTTAATTTTCAGGATCTTATTTAATTTTTAAACTTAAATTAAAATAAAAAATAATAAAATACATTTTTTAATTTAATTTAATCTTAAGTACTATTCCCTCCTTTTTTTATTTTTTTTATTTTTCTCATTTAATTTTTAGAATTTATTGTTTGAAAAAACTATGTTTTTTATCTGATTTGAGTTTCAAAAATCATTTTAATAATTTTTGCTATATTTTAGTTTCATTTATTTATTTTTTTAAATTAAATTTTCTTTTATTTATTAGTTTTCATTGTTTTAAAAAAGAAAAAATATATATTTTTTAATTTAATGAAACATATTGCTAAATCCTACAATGATATACGCGCATAGTAAAAAAATATTGATCCGCTCTAATGAATAGGTATATATTACCGTTCAAAAGCTACTAGGGAAACGAGCTCATAATTGGGTCAAATGGGCTTAATCTAAGAGCAGGATTAAACGTTTCCAGGCGCGTGGAAGCGAGTACTTAGACATGAAAAGTTTTATGTGAAATATTCACCAGTCGGGAGAAAGCTTAAATAGTACAATTTGTAGTCTGTACCATGATACAAAAAAGAAGGTAGTTTCAATAAACAACTTTTGACGGATAATAAAATTTTTTGAAGTTTCATAAATTGTCAGTATTATCAACGGCCTTGCCACTTTGATAATATTAAAACAATACATCGGAGTATTTTCTTTCCCATATTTTTACCAATGTGAGAATATTTCAAATCAAAACTCACAATCAGTACTTGATATTTTTTTACTTACGTGGTTTGTCCCTCTTTTATTAAAAATATATAAAATGTAAACTGTTACATTGTAATTATTCTTTTTATTTTATAATAAAAACCATTAGTGCATTATGTTGTTATTTTTTTCATTTTCTTATTTTGATATACAATTTTCGTTTCTTTAATCTTGCGATTTAAAAATCGAATTCTAAAGAATGTTCTTCCCAAATAAAATCTTTTTATAATATTTTGGTCCAAATTTACTTTTAAATTTCTCATCAGATTTTGCAAAAATTTTGGCTTTGTGGTTAGCGAATCACCATTAATTTCAACAAATTTTGAATTCAAAATTTCCAATGTATGCAAAAAACTTGAATTAGGCTTGTACAGACCGCCCTCCGATAAACAGTTAACATACGTATAGTTTTGATCACTTTCTACATGCGTCCTGAAGCCTAGTTTTGTCAACCCCATTTTCGAAATTATGTAGCCGGCAAAATTTTCAAGTCCATCATATTCCACATCTTTGAGTGGACTGATGAAATCTTCTGCTTCATGCTCTTCTGCGAGCTACTTAAAAAAATTAGAAATCAAATTAAAACGAAAGGGTAAGGAGTTTACCTCGAGTTCTTCTTCTGCGGATATTTCAATATCGTTAAGTGGTTTGAAAACATTTTCACTGAGCAACTCCTCTTCAAATTTTAACATTACTTCACTTGAAGACTCAACATTTGTTTCCGTGCTCAAAATAGTTTCGTTTCGCCCTAATAAAGTTCATGCATACATTTTAGAATCTTTATGACAACAACAATAAATAATTTCTTTAAGTGGTTAAAAAATTACCTAGAAGGTATGATCGAAATCTGTACTTGAATTCGAGAGGTGACGGATGGTCATGCAGCCCTCCTTTCATATATGTTCAATAACTTCACTAAACTTCACTCATTTTCATACATTTTTGTTTACTTTTACAAAAAAAAAAAAATATTATCTCTGGTGATCAGGTAGCATGAATTTTATGAAATGTCATAATTTTATTAAAAGTCAAATGGTTAGCAACAACAACGAATGTCATTAAATGGAACTACCTTCTTTTTTGTATCATGGTCTGTACGATATTTTTTTTTAAATCTAAGTCAAATTTTTCTTCACCGTGTTTTTCTAACAGCGAATAAAAAACTTTGTTAGAATGGTTAGGCAGCCATAATGTGCGAATATGTGAGCAGTCTTTTAACTAAAGGAGAACTACAAACAAACATAAACTAACTCTGTTGTGTACTGAGATATCAGCAGGACGGAATAAAGACGCATTAAGAAAAACTATCAGCCCTCTTTGTTGACTGAAGTGTTAGGAATTGCCACTGCTGGAATTCGCTACCCCAGAAAAAAAATGAACGAAATAACGACAAGGTGGATATGATTTGTAATCCCACATTTGATTGATTGGTTTACCTAAAAAATCTACACATGCACATATCGATATGCTAGTACAAACACTTATTTGCATATTATGAGGAATGAAGCATTTGCAAAAATCGCACCAACTGGCGAAAAACCCCGATGCGCTATGATTGTATGTATGTATTTATGTATTTTGCTTATCTATAAAATAAAGCAAATTTTATTCCCATGC